TGAACGACAGCAACACCGACAATGACGACGACCATGCTTCGATGAAGCTCGCCGTGGAGATCAGCGCCTGCGCAGCCGAGATCGCCGAGTGCGCCGACGCCTACGCCCACGCGAAGGAACAGAACGGCGAGAACCACGATGGGGCCAGCAACGACTTCGGGGGGAAAAGGAGGCCGGCCACGCCGACGCGGAGGCCTGCGCCTACGACGGACCCCCAGAGATCCCACGTCGTGATTTTTTCAATGCGGTGTCCCCGGAAGTCTCGACCCATTCCCAAGGACAGATTTTTCATCCTGAGTCGTTTTTTGACGGTCCCGAGGCCCGGTGAGGGCCCCTAAAGGCCGAACATTGCGTAAAACGCCCGTCTCGATTTTTTCCATGCGGCGGATCTCTGGGCACGACGGAACTTACGACGTTTAAGCCCGCTGCAGCGGCAGCGGCCGTGCAGCCCATCGCGGCTCCGGCCGAGCGGGAGAGGAGGCCGCGGCGTGTCGCTGGGCCGGCGCCCGCGAGCCCGCGGGGAGGCCGCGCGGGCAAGGGCGCGGCCGCAAGCGCCGAGGCGCGGCGCGGCGGAGTGCGGGCACTACTCGTGAAAGGCTCAACGACTTCTGCCGCCCTCCGACTCGCGCTGGAGCGGCCGCGGGTTGCTCCAACGCTCCCCGGAGATCTCTGGATTTACCGGGATTTACTTAGATTTATCTAAACTTACCTGGGCTTATCTGGCCCGATCTCCACAAGTCGATTGGCGACAAGTCGACAAAGCCTTAGGGAATGACCCCCAGGATGCCACTCTCGCCAGCTTCCCTTTTCTCTCGGTCTGCATCGCGAACCCTCCGAGCGCCCGACGGCGTCAGCGTCGTCCGGTGCACATCGCTTGCCGGCGCCGACAGCTCCCGCTCGCCGCGCGGATACAGTGGAGGCCAGTGCACAAGAAACCTTCCACAAGAAGCCCAACCCTGAGACCCCAGGACGTCCATCGATTTTTGGTGTCGGAACGTCGTGCCTTCCACAGCAAAACCATCGAAACCCAAGAAACCCAGGGCACCCTGGAGGCAGCAGGGTGTTTCTTAGCATGGGCCTCCACTGTAGGCTGCCAGCGCCGTCGGGGGCTCCCGACTGACCACTCGGCTCTTGCCTGGGGTGCCCCGGGGTGGCCCGTCCCATCCCGGCCCCGGGGCGCCTGGGGCCTCGTGCTGGTGCCCCCGCCGTGGGCTGTCCCTCTCTTTTTGGGGCTTCTTCGGGTGAGTCTGGGATGCGTGGGCTGCGTCTCTAGTCCGCCTGCTGACGCGGCATCGATGGAGACTCGCTCGAGAGCCCGCCGAGCCGAGGAGGAGGAGGAGGAGGAGGAGGAGGAGGAGGAGGAGGAGGAGGATGCGCCAGAGAATGTGGGGAGGGGAATAGGAATGAGAAGGATGGACGAGGAAGAAACGAGGATAGGAATTTGAGGAGGGTAACAGAGCTGCAGAAGAGGGGTAGGAATGAGAGAGAAGAGAGGGAGGAGTGGGAGAAGGAGGAGTGGGAGAAGGAGGAGGAGCAGGAGGAGCAGGAGGAGGAGGCGGAGGAGGAGGAGGAGGAGGAGGAGGAGGAGGAGGAGAATGCCAGGGGAAAGCCGGCGAGGCAGAAGGAGGCGGATGGGAGGAGCTCGTCGGGAGGCACCGGCGGAGCAGCAGGACGAGAAGGGGGGAGAGGCCACGGTGCACGCGCGCGGGTCACGGGGGAGAGGAGCGAGGAGGCCAGGCGCCCAGCCCGGGACGAGGAGGAGCAGGACAGGGACGGGGGGAAGAAGCAGAGGCACACACGCGCGCGCGAGGTCGCCCGCCGCCGACCAGGCCCGCCGGCGCTGGGGCCCCGAGGACCGAGAGCCTCCCGCGTCGAGCGCTGCCAGGAGGGCCCCTGGCCCAGGGCCCCGCCCTCGGAATTCTTGCTGGTGGTCCAGGCTGCAATTGGTTGGAACATTTGAGCAGGCACCGACCGTCCCGGTAGTCCTATAGTCCTACCACGAATTGTTCTTAGAACCCAAAGCTGTTTTAATAACAAAAGCAGTGTCCTTACAACATAAACACCATGAGATAAAACAAGACAGACTCCGCCAGAAATGTTCTAAGAACATTTCGTCGAAACCTCAAAATGTTCTTAGAATATTGTTTGGTGGGGCTATAGGCGAGCCTGGACGCTTCGCCACTGCTTGAAACATCATAACTCCAGAAGGGCCCCTCACGAGGCCCGGAGGGCCCGAGGAGCGAGAAGCGGGGGGGCACCCTGGGCCAGGGGCACTTCTAGCAACATCCGACCGAGGCCCCCCCCCCCCCCCCTCCCGTCCCGGGGAGCGACGAGGGTGCCGCCGACGTGGCCCGCGAGCACGCGTGGGACGGACGGGCACGCGCTGGAGTCGGGGGGGGGGGGGGGCGACAGGGCAGGATCGCACAGGGCAGGGTCGAGCATCAGCTCACGGCGCTGGTTTTCCTGGCGCTGGGAGGCGCCTGCGTACTGGAGGCACAGGCCCGGCGGCGGGGCGAAAACCAGCTGCCTGCGTGCAGCAGATTTCGTTAGAAGAAGAACAAACGGCATACACAGAAACTTCTGGCGCTCCGCGCGGAGCTCTTGGATCTGCGCTGGAACTCCCTCTGCGGAGCGCGCCAGGGGCGGCGCCAGAGTCGCCGCCAGGGGGGGCCCAGCGCGGACCCGAGAAGCCCGCGCGGATCGCCAAACGTTTATGTTTTTTGTTGCCGCTCTTTCTTCTTCGATTCGTGCACCCCCCCTTTCCCCTCCCCCCTTTCGTTTTCTCTTCTTCGACTCGTACCTCCCCCCCTTTCCCTACCCCCCCCCTTTCGCTCGGTCACGGCCACGGGGAAGGGCGGCGACACCACTGGGGGCAGGGGAGCGCTCAGAACCGAACCGAGAACGTCTGGCTCGGCGAGCGACACGTGCATCGGGCCGGCGAAACACCGGGAGCCACGCCGGGAGAAGTCGAAACGGCGGCCATCGGCGGGCCAGTGAGCCCCCCGGTGGAGACCTCGGGATCCGGCCGCCTGGGATCGGTGGCCGCCCTCTCGGAGGAGCCGCCCCGTGCCCGCGCGCAGCTGTGTGCCCTCCTCCTCCTCCTCCTCCTTCTCCTCCTCCTCCTCTTCCTCCTCCTTCTCCTGTTCCTCTTCCTCTTCTCCTCCTCCTCTTCCTCCTCCTCTTCTTCCTCCTCCTGCTCCTCCTCCTCCTCCTCCTCCTCCTGTTCCTCCTCCTCTTGCCGGGCGTGTCCCCCTACAGGGGGATTTTCGACGAAAAACAAAACATACCCCCCAAACACCCCCAAATAGTCAAACAAATACTAACAACATAGTCCCCAGATCATTTGTTTGACTATCTTGGAATATTTCTCCTGTAGAGGTACGGGCCCGAGTGAGGCCTGGAGTGAGGTCGGGCGTGTCCTCCTACCGGCGGGCTTGGAAGGGAAGATGAAACATAGGCGATACATACATCTTCAGCAAGGGTCAGAACTAGTAGAGACATCGTTCCCAGACCGTTTCCCTGCTATTCTGGAATCCTCCTCCTGTAGAGGGACACGCCCGACTTAAGCCTAGAGCCTCTCGCTGGCGCGGAGCGCGGCCCCCCCCGCGCGCGCCCTGGCGCCCCTCCGGGGCCCTGGAGCGGAGGCAGGCCCTCCGGCCCCGACCGCGAGGCGCGGGGCGCGGGTTCGTCTTCGCGGCCCCGACGAGGGCATCAGAGCAGAGCACCCCCTCCTCTCCTTCCCTCCCCCCCTGCTCTCTTTCCTCCTCTCCCCTCCCTCCCTCCCCTCTCTCCCCTCCCACCTCCTCCCTCCCCTCTCCCCTATCCTATCCTCCTCTCCTCCTCCCTCCCTCCCTCCCCCCCTCTCCCCTCCTCCTCCTCCTCCTCCTCCTGCTCCTGCTCCTCCTCCACCTCCTCCTCCTCCTCCTCCTTCCTCCTCCTCCTCCTCCTTCTCCTCCCTCTCGACCGCCGAGCACTCCCCGGGGGAAGACGGGCGGGCGTCCCTCCCTCTCTCGCCCAGGGGGTCTCGACCTCCGCCGGGATCGTGGCGGGGGGTCCCAAGGCCGCTGCCCAAGGGGCGGGGTTTCCGTTAGGTCGGGCATGTCCCCCTACAGGCGGATTTTGGACGAAGAGTTAAACATAGTTAAGCAAATACTCCCAGATGATCAAAGATAGTCCCGAAAGCGTCCTCAGACGACTTTTTGCCTATCGTGGCATACTCCTCCTTTAGAGGGTCAGGCCCGACTTCAGATTCCCTGGAGCTGGGCTGGGCTGTGAGGCATCGGGGTCGCTCCGACCAGACGACCGGTGACCCAGCTTCCCCACCAAACACTACGACGCGCGATGCTGACACGTCCAGTCCAGCTTGCACCTTGGATTCAGCAAGCGTACCCAGAGCGATGAAAAATCGACGATCGGTGACCATGTGATCACAAGCGGCAGGATCGGGACCCAACCGGGCCCAAGACTGCTCGGCGGTGTCGTGCTAGTCTGGCTGGAGCTCGTGCTCGTCGCGCTCGTTGCGCTCGTCGTGCTCGTCGTGCTGTTCAGCTCCATCTCGCGCTGCCACGCGGAGAGCATGCCCCCGTGCGACAGCGACTCGCCCTTCGCGCGTGCCTGACGCAGCAGGCCGAGTCGCGCGGGGACCGGGGTGTCTGAAGGGCCGTCCAGGGGAGACAACCTTTGCGCCCGAGCCTCAGACGGTATTGCTCGGGGTCCCCGTCTTGCCGGAGCCCTTCCCCTCTCGTGCCTTTCCCCGTCCTCTGAAGTGGAGGAGGAGGAAGGGGAGGAGGAGGAAGAGGAGGAGGAGGAGGAAGATGAGGAGGAGGAGGAGGCGGAGGGAGGAGGAGGAGGAGGAAGGAGGAGGAGGAGGAGGAAGGAGGAGGAGGAGGGCGGAGGAGGAGGGGAGGAGGAGGAGGAGGAGGAGGAGGAGGAGGAGGAGAAGCAGATAGAGGAGGAGGAGGAGGAGGAGGAGGAGGAGGAGGAGGAGGAGGAGGAGGAGG